ATTACTGAGTCATCAGGATAAAGTACCATACAGGGAAAGAAGTATCTCTGTTTCTGGCTTTTGAGACTATGTGTTTGCTTGATTCCCATGGTTTCTCACAACCCTAAGGCACCTAGAGCTGCTCCAAGCTATATTTACAATTTACTTTCACTTCTTTTTGGGTTTGAGGACTCATCATGTTTAGAAATCCAGTCTATGCTTAGGCTCCAGATCTAAGTTCTGAACTATCTCAAGTGCATGAGCATAACCCATGTGAGTGCTGGGGGTGTGCTCATTTTGGCATATTTAGTTGTCTGCTGCAAAACTCCTTTGGAAATTAAAACAAAGGTAGAAAATGTAGAAAAATCAATGCAAGAAGTACAGGTGAGTAAGAGAACTCAGCACATCCTCAGATTTTCTATGGACTCTATTCTTGTTCCCTGGAGCTGTGGTGACCTACGGTCTCTGTCATGACCTCCCACTTGGAGTGTAGCAGTAGCCATTTCCAAGCTTGTCTCTTTTAAATCTCATCTTCTTGTTTTTTTTCTGTGATTGAAACTCCAGATTTCCAAGGTTTGAGAGAGGCAGATATAATTTATTATTTTTGTAGTCTTTTAGGCATTCAGAAAATGTTTGGCTTCAAACCAAGTTTTAACAAAATATTTAGCTGCAGTTACAGATGAACATTTTGGCTGGAATTTTGTTAAATATGAGCTTGAAGTTGGATTTTGGTAAAGCTGTCCTAAATACATCCATCTTTGTCAATGAATTTGTTTGTTTATGGAGTGCATACTTTCCAGATTTTTGTGGAAGAGAAGGTCAGATGGAGGTGCATGAGGATTGCAGAGATTATGAGGAAAGGAAGGGATTCATGGAGCATGGTGTGTAGAGATAAGGCATTACCAGAAGAGAGTTTGAGTCATTGTGTGCATGGGTGGGTGTCCAGGCCAAGGCCAAGGCCGGAACTGCCATTGAGCTGAGCTTCCTACTGGCATGCTTCCCACATTCTGAATGGTGAAGACATTCTTGAGTGGGTAGTCACATTAACAACAGAGAAGTATTGCTGACGCAAAGGATGCCCATCACAAACAAGCTTTATCTTAATCTAGTTTAAGCTTCTATGGAGCCCTAAAAATGGTCACCTTTAATTTCAAGGGATCAGTTGCATTCGACCAACTGGAAGACAAGCAGTTGAATATATAACTTTTTAAAGAAGGGCCATCATGAAGTTGGATAATGAATATGCCACGTGTGATTTGAGAGAGAAAATTGTTATTACATCAGTCGTTATGGGGGGCCTATGTAAACTGGACTCTTACAACTGGGCATCTCTTTCTTTAAAAAGAAATACAGCTTGAAGATTTCTAGAGACCAAATAACTGCAGTGACATGAGGTAGTCTGCTGTCTCAGGGAATTTTAGTTACAGTGGCTGAATCAGCTTGGACCTATCTTCTTTGGTAGATTCTATCCATAGTAACAGAAGAAAGGAAGCTAACCCTGGGAATTTTTAGCAGAATATTTAGAATTCAATCTTGTTTAGATTATTGCCATAGAAGAGGAACTGTAGTATCAATTTTGTAAAAGCTTACTTTGTTTGGGAGGATAGGAGAAATTCTAAGTCAACCAGGAATAGAAAGTGTTAGGTACTTGAAAGTGGCAAACAAGCATGTCTTAACAACAGCCTGTTGGACACTGTTGAGAGATGACTTACCTGTTGTCAGTCCCTTGGAGAAAAGGCCAGGCTTGAGTTTTCCTTGGAATTCTCAAAGCAGCCAGCTGGGACTCCATGCCTTTTCATTGAGGGGATGAGTGTCAGTGGTCAGTCTGGGAAGACTCAAAGCTTATAGGAATGTGGTTATTTAAAAACAAATGCTTTACTACCAATCTATTTAACTGGTCCCAGAAGAAGGGCTTGGCTACCTGCAAATGCTCAGCCTTCTCACTTTTAAGATAGGTTCAAAAATCTATCTCATAGAATTGCTTGCGGTTTAAACAACACCGTTTATTTGAAGTGTCTAATACTGTCTGGTATTGAACCATACTACTTTTGTACTCAAAGACACTTCAATGAGTGAATGCTGTGGACCCAACTTTTCACTAAATTTATGTGGATTATCTTATTCGATTTTTACAATAACTCTATCAAGATTCCCAAATAAATCAAATGAAAGTGGGAGAATGCTTAATGGTAGAACATTTATATGCAGTTACAAAACCACATGGAACTTGTTTTATGGAAACACAAATGTGTAGGCAACTGGGAATGAGAATAAGAAGGCATAGCTGTTTTTGTTATTATAATGATCTTTGTGAAGAAGATCTGGAGAAAGCCACCCAGCCCAGCACTGTGAAAGGACATTAGGGGCTTTGTAGGTAGTAGCAAAGGGAGGTTAGAAATGGTTCTGTGAGGAAAGGAGGAAAGAAGCATTGTTTTCATCACTGTGAAGATATTAAAGGATGTTTAGGACTTCATAGAGAAGATAGGGGGAATCTAAGGGAGGAAGCATCAATGCAAGAGTAGAAGTAAGAGCTGACAAAAGAAGACCTGGTGCAGGCTGATGCCTGGGAATCCAGCATGGGACTGATCGAGACCCCCTGAATGGGGGTGGCAGTGAGGAGGCCTAGGTAATCTATTGAGCCTTGGGCAGTAGATCAGTATTTATCCCAAGTATACACATGGACTTTGGACTCCCATCCAACAATGTGAGATGCACTCTCACCCTGAACTCTTGGGGGAGGGTCTAGGCCCTGCCCTGGATGAAATGACAGACTATGGACACCCCCATGGAGGGCCTCACCCTCCCTGGGGAAATGAGGGGATATTGGGAGGGTTGGGGGGCATGGGAGGAGGGGTGGGAAACGGAGAGGGACCTGCAACTGACTTGTGAAGCAACCTTGTTTCTTATCTAAATTTAAACTGAAAAATAAATAATAATAAAAAAGAAGACCTGGTGCTTGACTTGGTGCTCAAAAACAATATATTAGGCTAGGACTTGAAAAATTAAAGGTGGTAGAAAAATCAGTGAGGATTTTAGGAGGCAGAAACTAAACACTCAGGATTTTTTGATTGCGTGTGTTTAGAGGAAAGGGTGCCAAGAGTCTTTAGAAACACATATTTTTAAATTATTCAGTTGAGGTAAAACACAGAACAAGGCAAAATACAGAAATTGTTAGTACACAATTTGACAAATTATCACAAAATGGACACACCCACAACCACCACCAGGTCAAGGAAGAGGAAATTATTATCTTCATTAATATTTACTATTCCTACTTCTCACAGTTTGAGTTTCTTAAATGAATTTATGTCCTTTCCACACAGACATTTAAATACAACTATGACCAACTAAGACAGTTTATACTTATACTGAGAAGAGGGTTTGTTTTAAAAAATAAGTCAGAATAAACACTTTAAACCCATACAATTCTATGAAATTGATATAATACATATTTAACATACAATAAGAGATAATTTCATACACCTCCCAAATCCACTAGAACAGAATATTAATGTCCAGAGAGGAGTTTCCATTTTTACAAAGGAGCATGTTTCTTAAAGCTTTTCAGCTTATGTATTACTCTTGGCACTGTTGTAAGTACATAGTGTACTGGGCAAGTATTTGTCAATAATGATAATGGTGACATGTCGCCTCTTAATGTCATTTATCATGATTCCTCTAAAGCAATAACTTGTACAAGAAACACATCTTCTAGTTCTTCTGAAGTTCCTGGCTGGAGCCTCATGAGAGAACATTCGATGGGTGTTAGTGATAGCGTTTTATGCATCACTGAAATTATTTTTCTCTTTCCTCTGTGGTCCCCAACCACACAGCTTTGCAGATGTAGAAGAGGGAGGAGTATGAGAAGATGATGAAAAACAGAAATAAGAAGGGAAACAAATATTGAATTTAAGAAAGTAAAAAAGGGCTGTGCCTTCTTTTGTTCTGAGGATGTTATTACTAAAAACTCAGTCTAGTGATGTACCATGCATATTAATAGAGTAGATTTCATTCTCTGTGTAATTTTGTTTTGGTCAGTCATAATTTGTGAGCTTCTCTATGGCAGCTATCAGTGGTGGGTGGCCACTAACATAGAAAAAAAGCCATGTGCCATATGGGAAGGGTGATGATGAATACTTTCTTTGAAACTTCACCGAACACAGAGTGCATGTGATATGTAAATTTGATGATTAATAATGACTGTGGCACATTTCTCTGTCTACGAATGCTAAAGCAGCTTGTTTTATGAACACTCTGAATGATCCCCACAATGTTTTGATGATATTAATTATTTATTTAAACTTGATTTTAAATTAGCAGCAATGTTAGAAAGGGAGAAGGAATTTTTTTCATAAGAATTTGAATTTTATGTTTTCTTTGTCTTTAGTAGCAGAAAGCTGATCTTATCATTTTGATATTTGGATTAAAGTATTCATAGGTCTAGAATTCATCAGATCTTCTGATTGTCTGCATCAGTCAGTGGATTATAACTTAACAGCTTTGCTTTTTCAATGCACTATTTAGCTATGGCAAATTGAATAGTTATTTATTGTATTAAAAACAGATACAGACAATTTCAAGTAATTATAGGAACATGTCTAATGGTATGAAGAAAACTGATACATAGTTTTGGGTGAGTAGCTGCATAACCTGGGGCTACTTTACCTTTGGAACTTACAGTCAAGTCACAGTGAAGATATGGGGGATTTATTTAACCTCTAGGAACTTTGTTTTTCTCATCTGCAGAGTGGGGTCTTTAATAGTCAAGCTTAAGGTTAGGCTATTGCAAGGAACAAAGGGGCTGTCCATGTGGAACCCGCCATGTTCAGTGCTCGATGAATAATTCTCTTGAAGAAAGTAACCACCATTTCCTTTACAGACCTGAATATTGTGACCTCGTGGCACAATGGTAGAGTGTCTGACCCCAGAACTGAATATTGTGATTCTGAGACATGCTTCAATTACAAGTGTTTTAAAACCTTGGCATGCCTGGGAAGAAGAGGAGGAACTCTTGGACTCACCTGGGACATCTCTTCAAGGGAAGCCATACTCTTGGGATTCCCGGACTGAGACAAGGAGCAGGGCCTGGAAGAATGATGAGGAAAGATAAAGTGTGTTTTGGAGACACTGCTTAACCCTCCCTTTGGCATCCTTTCTCTTCAGTTTCACTTGTGTGAATGCCATCTGGGGTGACTGGAAATAGGCCGAATCTAGGCCATCCCCAAGGTCGGTATAGTTTACCTCAAACTCAAAAACAATAGTCTACATTTTTTGACAAGAGTTTTCTACAGCAAACAGAATAGAGAATACCTGGCTTGTTTTAAATATGAAGACATTTAGGCCAGATAAATTAGATAGGGTGTCTGATACTTAGCCTGACTCCATGCTTGTTCTTCTCCACTATTTTGTTAAAAATACTGAGTCAGACACTTACACAATTTCTTCCTTATCATTTAAAACCTTTCTGAACTGCATTTTCTTAATAAAATAGGACTCTTAAAATTATTTTATTTTGTCTGTATGTATGTCTGTGAACTACATGGTACCTGGTGTCAGAGTTACTGAGACCAGAGTTACTGATGGTTGTGAGCGATTATATGGGTGCTAGGAACTGAACTTGGCTTATCTGGGAAAACATCCAATGTTCTTAACGCTGACCCACTTGTCCAATCTCTAACATATGACTCTTAATACTACCTTTATTGTGCTTGTGAGAACATGAAGGCAGACTACATGTATGGCATGCTCCATGTAGTAGTAGCTATTGGATGTTTGTATCAGTAGTTGAAGTGCTGTGCTAGATTCCTAGTATTGCTCTTACATTGTTGCTTTCTCCATGCATTTGGAAAGATTTTGCATATCAAATGCATACATTGGTTAACCCTTGCCTTTTTTTAAAAAACATTATCAAAGACCAGCTGGTGCTGCAGCAACAGCAGAAAGGTTGAGTTGATTTGGAGCCAGTGAAAGTCAAGAAGTTTGGCGTCCATATAACCACTCTGTTTCCGCGTAAGCTAAGGTGCTCCCTGAGTTGACTCGGTGTCATCTAAGGCACCTTGCTGACCTCCAGTGTTGTCTGTAGACTCTGAGAATAGCTGAACTCTCACTTTTTAGTGAATGAGCCAAACCCCATGGTTATGATCTGACTAAGTTGATGTTTTGTGTGTGATCTAATTCAATTTTTGGTAGTTACATTTTTTCCATCACATCATGGGAAATTGGTGTGGTCCACAAATAATCAAAATAAATTGGTTAAGAATGAAATGGAAGATGAATTATTAACAAATTACCAGGGGTTACTAGTTAATGGGCCTACCAATCATTTAGAGACCACATTCTGATGTGTAATGCACAAATTATGTAATTTACCCCTTGTTTTCAGAGGTCAAGTCCAATTATAATTTACCCTTCAGTTGTACAATTTTACAGTATCAAAACACAAAGGAAAATTTTTAGTATGTAAAGTTTCCTTAGTATATCACTTATTGCCAAATTTAACTGTTTATGGGGCAAATACAGAGAATATTGAAAAAGACTGTGATATAAAGTTATCATTTATTTTGCCAAGATACGTTGAGTCTTTCAAATATTATTGGGCCAAGCTGAAATAATTTCATTGTAAAAGCATTTTCCCTCTCTTTGTGCAGGCTAAGTGCATATTTTGTGAACTTAGGAATAACTTTCCAAAGCTGTGTGAAGAATGTAGCAATACAATCTAATAAGAATTATGGCTCACAATTTGAATGATGTCAGTATTCCTTTAATCCTCCCAGACTAAAACGTTTTTCTCTTTCTAAATAGGATTCTTAACTCTTTATTTCTAAGGAAATAAGGAGAATTTTGTAATCTCATTGATAAAGTAAGAGTTAAAGGAAGATAAAACTTCCCCTTGTCAGCACTTGTGTAGATTATTAAGATGAATATTTTTAAAGGCTATGCATTTTAGACAGATTTTTATGAGTATATATTATTTTGTCAGTCTGTTCTGGTTAGTTTTTGTTCATTTGACACAAACCTAGACATATGTGCGAAGAGGGAGTCTCAGCTGAGGAACCATCTTCATCTGTTAGCTTACGGGGCATTTCCTTGATTGATGCTTGAGGTGAGAAGACCCAGCTCATTGTCGGCAGGTGGTCGAGCAAGCATAAGAAGGGTAGCCAGATGTGAGCCTTGGAACAAGTCAGGAAGCAGTTTTTCTCAACGGGCCCTGCCTCTGCTCATGCTTGAGCTCCTGCTGTGGTTTTCCTCAGTGATGAACTGTGAGCAGGATCTGTAAGCCAAAAATCTCTTTTCTTCTCCAAGCTGGTTTTGGTCAGTGCTTTATTACATCAACTGAAACCTACCTAGGACACCTTTCATTTCTTATTTAGTGTGAGTATTTTTTGGGTTCAGTTTTCTGGCTATGATCTTTTCTTCTAGCCAGTGGTCACAAACTGGACCATCCGCCAGAGCTTCCTGACTGGTGATTTCTGGGCCCATTTGGAGGTCCTGACTGAGGAATTCTTGGTATGGGTGTGAGAGCTTACATTTCTAACTAATTCCCAGATGATGTAAGCAGTAGATAAGTCACACCTTGATCACTACTGCTCTAAGCCATGTTACAAACTTTTGACCTTACAATTTAATTTGATGAGACTGAACCATCATGAGCAACGTAGTCTAAAGTTCAACACACTAGTCACATTCAGCTCTTTCATTAGACTTGTTACAAGCAAAAGCACTGTGTATAAAATAATCAATCACGGTTTGATAAAGCAGTTTGATGCTTGTTGTTGACAGACTGAAGAATCTCTACAGGTAAGTGTGTGATTTCTTCAGTGACATCACATTTGCCTGCAGAGATTTCTCAGTCTGCCACTGTGAAATTAATTCTAAGGTGTAAAACAGTTATTTGCTCTACAATGGCCCTTCTAGTCCTGCTGGACTCTAAAGCTGTACTTGTGAAAGACTGACATTAGATAGGAAGTAAGGGTTCTAGATGGGGTCAAACAGAAGAGCGGGAGAGAAGCCACTTTCTGCTCCTGCCTTTATCTCCACAGAGGAGGCTAAGGTGACAAGCGTGTGCAACCAGTGTCGCCTGTAATGATGCCTTAGCTGCAACACACGCCTCTCAGCCCTTGAGTTTCTCAAAGTTTCAGGAAATCTGTATGCTATAACTTGCTATTATGTTTCTTCACATCTTTCTTAATTTATAGCTATACCTAAGAAACCACAAGGAAGAGTGCAATACGCAACATGCTTGTCACCTTTATTTTCCCCAACTCTCTGTTTACCTACTAATTCTTTATAAATCACATCACCTGTGGCTAATTTTTAAAGATTTGGAACAATCCATGATGTTCAGCATTTACTCTAGGAGTCCTACCCAATTTGTAAATATCACAATATTAACTCTGCAGTGCTGGTAGTTTTTCCTCATGGAACTATTTTCCCTCTGCTAGCTATATAGTTATTTCACTATTTTATCAGAAAAGAAATTTGGAATATTTCGTTTCTACTGTACCCCAGCAGATAGAATAGTTCCAGTATTATAGAAAGTGAGAATACACATTTACTACTGTCTGTTCATTGATTCAATGAAATGCTTTATTTCAAATATCTACTATTTAAAAGGGGCATATATATGGGCTTATGTGTATATATCTATAAAGTCACATTTGTTGACATCAGAGTGAAGATATTTGATTTCAGACCAGACAAAATAAGGGAAAATTGAAATATAGAATATAAATGTTTTTATATAATTAGTCATATATTAAGGTAGGTTATAATGGAGAATTTGGGTAATATTTGGTTTAGAGGAAAATAGTCTTTTAAAAATCCAATGTTATTATGCCTTCCAAGCATATCATTGTATTTTAGATTTTTTTAACTACTGGGTTCTATCCAAATTTATGCAATAATGATTCACAAAATTGGATTTGATTGTGTTTACATAGCACAGTATCTTGATAATCTACCAATCTACCCTGTACACATCCTTGGACCTCAGGATGATTTTAAAAGCATCCTCTTAATTGTGTTCTGGCTTTTCCAAATAAACCATAAACACAGACTTAACATCAAATCTCTCAAGTGTTTAGAGGATGTAGCAGGTGGCCTGATCTGATGTGAGTACAGCTGAAGTCGTGTGTTGAAATAATTGCAACCTGGAAAGATAGAAAACATCTGGGCTTAAGGAAGACCCATTTTATGAGAGAGACAGAGAGAAAGAAGAAGGGAGGGAGGAGGAGGGGAAGAGGGAGGAGGGATGAGTATTTGAAAGCATTACATCTTTTTGGGCTATGTAGAAAAGGGGGTTGTGCTTCAAACTCTGTGGCAGTTATTCCTCTAATCTCTAAAGATGGGGACCAGGATACCTCAGTTTTGGAAGAAAGATGAGACTTCTGCAACTGCACTCTCAAAGCCTAATTTTTCTCTTATATGAGCTTGTGGGGGCACGGTTTAACACACACTCATCCTCTTGAAGGGAAATTAAATTTATTATTCTGTTCTTGACTTTTCTTGCAACACTTTGGTTTATGGGTTCCTGTGATGGCATGCCTGAGGCAAAGATTTGGGGGCAGTCTCATAATTTTAGTTGCCTATATTCCCAGACTACTTAGACATACCCCTCTCTAAATGCACATATTTTTATATAAGCATTATCTGCCATTAACATCTCAGCACAGCTGCATTTACTGACTATCCCAAGCACAGAGTGAGAATATAAGAAGGGGATGCTTTAATGTGCATCTTAAACTCTCACAGCTCGATCTACCCAGGAATTCTCAAGTCTGGCTGAGAATCAGAAATGTGATAGATTAGGAAGCAGATTTTAAAGCTCCAAACAAGATATCCTGAACCCAAATTTCTAAGATGTGGGTTTGAGAATTCTCTTAAAAATTGTCTACTAGGACAGTTTTATGTTAAAACCAACAGTGAACAGAAAGTACAAAGAGTTTCTGTGTGCTTCCTCTGCATGGGTGCAGCCGTCTCTACCACTGACACCCCACTCCTGCGGTACATTCTTTACAGTGGATGACCCTATACGGACATGGGGACATTATTTCAAAGCCAGAGCTTTCCATAGGGGTCATCCTTGGGTTTTTATATAGGGGTTTTATAGTATGGTACATGTCTGATCTTTCTGCTATGTCCACCATTCTTGCCTTTTCTGGGTCTTATTGTTGGAATCATATAGTAATCCTTTCATATTTGCTTCTTCATATAATAATACCAGTAACAACAATAATACATTCAGTTTCTTCCATGTCTTCACAGGTTGACAACTCACAAAATACTAGAGTTTATTCCTTCATTTTCTGAAAACCATCTTGATTGCTTGCCAGTTCCGTGATTATGGTTAGAAGTAGTATGAACATTTGAGTTTGAGTTTTTGTGTGGACACATTGCCCCCTTCTCTGGGTAAATATCAGAGTCTGATTTATGCCACTGGGACCATACATGCAGCATCAAAAGACCCTGGTGAATTCTCTCATAAGTGACAGTACTGTCTCTCATAAGAGACATCCTGTTTTGCTAAATCCTTGACAGCATTTGGTGTTACCAGTGTTTTGGATTTTGGCCATTCCAATAGCAGTTCATTGGTATACAATTGTTTTAGTTTACAGAGTCCCCAATGTTGAATATTTTTCTTTTCTGCTTCACACATCTTCTTTAATAAAATGCTGATTTGAATTTTTCACTTTGATTTTTAGTGAGGGCCATTTTGTCACCAAGTTTTAAGAGTTCTCTTACATACTTTTGGTAATACTGCTTTAAATTTTCATTCTAGTTAAGACTCTTCAGTCTCTTGGTATTACATTTTGAAGAGCAGACTTAAGTTTTTAATGAAGTCCTGTTTATCACTTCTTTCAGGGGTCATCATTTGGGCCTTAGACCTAAAACAGAAGGCCACCTGGGTTTTATGTTATTCTCTAGAAATTTTACAGTTTTGTATTATGCATTAGGTCTATAGACTATTTTGAGTTAATTCTTAATTCTTATGAATATTGGAAATTCTGTGTCTAGATTCTTGTTTTGACACATAGGTGTCCAATTTTTTTCAGCACCGTTTTTGAAAAGACAATCTTTTCTCCATTGTATAACATTTACTGATTTGCCAAAATTGAGTTTGCTGTGTCTATGTGCATTTCTGTTCTATTTTGTTTATCTGTTTATTCTTTTACCCGTATAGCCTTGTCTTGTTTAGTGCAGTTGTCTTGAATTTGACTGGTGCTAGTCATCAGGTATGGCTGTCTTTTAACCCTGAATTATTATTGTGAACCTTTTGCCTTTTATAAACACTTTAGAATCAGTTTGTCGTCACTCACAAAGTTTTGACTATATAAGTCAAATGAGGAAGAGCTTACACCTTGAAAATATGAAGTCTTTGTATTCATGAACATGAAGCCTCACCCCATTTCCTTAGTTGTTATCTTTCACCAGAATATTGTACTTTTTTTATACAGATCTTGCAACCTTTTGTTAAATTTATACTCAGACATTTCATTGGGAGAGTTCTTATGTTTATGGTAGTATATTTTTAATTCCAAATTCCACTTTCAATTGCTGATTATTCTCTGCAACTTTTAAATGTTGCTCTATTAGTTACAGAAGTTTCTATGACTCATTCAGGATGTATACTTAGATATTCCTGTTATCCACAAAGTAAATAATTTCACTTCTTTCTTGAAAGTTTGTACAACTTGCCTTTCATTTTCTTCTTTTATTATTGCTTTGATTTTTACTAAATCATGTACTATGAGGTTGAAAAGCAGTGCTGACTGGATATTCTTGTCTATTTCTTGATCTTAGTGGTCATACTTTAAGCTTTCCCTCATTAATGATTATTCTAACTTCAAGTATTTTGTAGATGTCCTCATAAAGTTAAGAGAATTCCACTCTTTCTAGTTTAGACAGTTTACCTGGAATGAAATGTTGGATATTGCTAAATACTATTTCTGTATCTCCTGATATAATCATGATTTTATTCCTCTTTAACTTGTCACATTAATAATTTTTCAAGTGTTGAATGAACCTCATACACATGTGGTAAATTCCAGTTGATCAGGGAGTACAATTGTACAATTCTTTACATACATGGTTAATATAGTCTGATAATATTTTGCTGATGATTTTTTTAATCTGCTTATCTGAAGCACTGCTCCATACTTTTCATTTTTTGCAACCATTTTGGTAGTTTTGGTTTTAGGATACTGTTAGCTTTGTGGAGTGAGAGAATATGCCCTTTCCCTTTATTTTCTGGAAGATATTTCAGAGAATGTATGCAATTTCTTTCTTAAGTGTTTTGTAGAAGTCACCAACAAACTTGTCTGGTCCATGTACTTTCTGTTTATTAGATTATTACTTATTGCTCCAATCTCATTGATTGTCTGAGGATATTCTGATGGCCTGCTTCATCTTGTGTGAGCTTTAGCTGTTTGCATATTTCAAGGACTTGTTCTGTTTCATCTAGATGAGTGGTTCTCAACCTTCCTAACATTGTGGGCCTGTAATACAGTTCCTCATGTTGTAGTGACACCCAACCATAAAATTATTCTTGTTGCTATGTCATAACTGTAATTTTGCTACTGTTATAAATCATAATACAAATATTTTTGGAGATAGAGGTTTGCTAGAGGGGTTGTGACCCATAAATTGAGAACCACTGCTCTGGGTTATCAAGTTTGTGGGGACATAGTGATTTCTATTTATTTATTACCCTTTAATGTCCATGACATTTGTAGTGATGTCTCATCTTTTATATCTTTGGCTTCTACTTCTTAGTAGGATGAGAGATTGATCAGTTTCATTGATCCTTTCAAAGAACCAACTTTGGTTTGTACCAAATTTCCTTACTGATTTTCATTTTTCAGTTTCATTGATTGTTGATCTATTTTTAAAATTATTTTATTCTTGCTTTAGATCTATTTTTTCTACTTGTAGCTTCCTTCAGCTGAATTTCCTAAAATCTCCCTCTTTCCACTGTTTTAAATTATCCTAAATTTTTTTCATGAGTCATATATTCACTTACATATTTGTATATTATTTTAAAATCTTTTAAACTTCTTATGACATTTATTTATTGAGTCACAGGTTAGTGAGAACTGTGTTAATATCCAAGTTTAATTTTTATAACTGTTAGTTGGAGTCTCTATGGCAAGATATCATATAATATATGCTCCCCAAATTTTAAGGTGTATGTTGTGACCCAGACAGTGTTATATTGGGAAATGCTTCCTGTGAGTCTGAGAAGTATGTTCAGTCTGTTACTTTTGAATAAAGTTTCTATTGATGTCCACTACTGATGATGTTGTCAAGTTCAGCTCTATCCTTATTATTTTCTGAATGTTGATTCTGTTCCCTTCTGACAAAGGAGTGTGAGGGTCTCCAGCTAAACCTTTTTCTCCTTGCAGGGTTATCAGGTTTCCCCATGCATGTCCTCTGTTGTTGGACATGTGCATGCTAAATACTGTATTCTGGCATGCCTCTTCTCAAGCTGTAACTGCTGTGATGATTGTTCTTTTTCTAGCCCTCTGTGTTCTCTTTTGTCTGGTGTAGCATGGCATATCCCTTGCCGTAACTTTACTTTTTATCTTGATATTTAAAGAAAGTACTTACAGACAAAAAGAGTTGGGCCGTCTCTACGCTGAACATTCTTGTCATTTAGTTGGTGTGCAGAGACCACTGATAGTTAGAGTGGTCACTGTTAGAGCTCAATTAGAACTATCATAGTTCTTTTTTCCTGTCTTTGTCCCAGTTCCCCAGTCCTTCGCTGCTATTTTTCTTTTGTATTTTGAATTGAACATTTTATTTGGCTCAGTTTTCTCTTCTTCCTTAGAATGTCAATTTTACTTTTTTTTTTTAATAAATGCTGTTTGGTAGTGACTCAAGTTCACTATACAGTATACTGCTTTCCGAGTAATGCAAGTGCTTTATGATAACAAATATGCCCAATTTCTTTAGTATATCACTTATATTATTGCTTTGTTCATTTCACTTATCTACACGCACATTTTTGAATTGAATGTATTATTGCTAATATTTGAACAAACTTAAGAATAGAAAAAAACTAAAATTTTTATTTCACCATCACATATTCCTTCTCTGAAGCTCTTTCTATCTGCACAGAAACCAGTTTCTGGTCTGTAACATATCACGTTCTTCCTCTCTGAAGAACTCTTATGTTTCTATCTTTCCAGGCAGTTTGACTAGCAAGAAATTCAAGTTTTGAGAAAGCCTTCAGTTCTCCTTCACTTTTGAAAGCAGTTTGCTGTATGACACACAATTCTAGACTGGAGCTTATTTTCTCCCAACAGTTTCTGTAACTCGTACCTGCAACTTCTCACTCACATGACTTCTGTCTGTTGTTACTTTTGCCTTCTCTAGGTAGGTGAGGGACCCCACTGTGACTTGGGTCTCCCCAGAGTTTGAACCCTCAAACTTGCTCACCCTGGTGCTCTGACCAGCTGGGCAGGTAAAGGAGGCTCATGACCAAGTTGTGTCTCTCGAGCCATCCCTTAGTTTTCCCACTTTGGGGACAATGGTCTTCCTTGTGACCTCAGACCCTGACCTCAGATGGATATAAGGAGTGTTGCTGTTTCTGTTTGCTCAGCTTTTTTACTTGTGAGGGCAGAGTGATGACTTCTACATTAATAATGCTCATGTTGTCATTGAAGTTTAGATGGTCCTTCCTTTTTTTTTTTTTTTGGAACAAGTATGCTGTTGGGATAGCTTTTATTCCTTACTGGCTATCAAATCCTTATTTAAAAGAAAATCTATGAATCTATATATTTAATACATACACATTAATCTATACAAAATACATCTTATATCTATATTTATTTTTGGTTTTTATGAGACAGGGTTTCTCTGTATTGTTTTGGAGGGTGTCAGTCCAGCCTGGCCTTGAACTCACAGCGATCTGCCTGCCTCTGCCTCCCGAGTGTTGGGATTAAAGGCGTGTGCCACCACTGCCCGGCTTTCTTATATCTATATTATTAAATTATATATCAAATCACATCTATATGATTAAATCTTTATAAATGTAAATCTGGTAAGCAGGGCTTTTCTGGTTTGTGTAGGTGAGGAAGGGACTTAGGGCTTTGACCTCTTAATTCCTCTCCTTGTTGGCAACCCAGCCTAAGTGTGTAGAGTTCCCTCATTTGCCAACAACACTGGTCTTTTCTACATGTGATTTTAACATCTTCTTAGGGCTGGTATGAAAAGTTCTTGGCATCTGAAGAGTGGGGACAGGTCTCTTAGTGGCCAGTCAAGAGAAGAACGGCTTCCAGTCCAGCAGGGGCTTTGGATATTTGCCCTGTGCTTGACACTGGGTAGGGTTATGCAATTGAAATCAGGAAGAAACCTGTTTGCTGAGCAAAAAAGACCATTTTTTTTCTTACTTGTCTCCTTTAAGTGATTCTGCACGGGCAGGGTGTATTTTGTTAACCCGGCCTAAGGGACGTTTTAAAGGTGGAGAACTGCCTTGGTTATGAACAAATATGAGAAATAAACTTCCAGTGGGGCCGGGCTGCCTGCTGACTGTGATTTCCTGATGACCTACAACAATGGTTAGTCAGTAACAGCTGGCGCATGTCTCCCTCAGACAAAGCCACTGGGAAGAGCAGGCTTTCTGATTGGTGAACTAGAACCGTTTCCCTGGTAACCGTTAACTAGCACGTGTTTTATTGTTTCCAACTGCTTTTCCTAGGGCATTTGCAGGTGGTGGGAGATGCTTTCTTAAAGAGGGGTCACAACCTTATGAACTTTCAGATGTTGCAACAAATTGGGAAACAAAACGGTTGTTTTTTTCGTTTCAAATATAGTAAGTAAAATTTATAACATTGCATTTTCAAGACAAATGCAGCCCAATAATTTTTCTTTTATCTTTTCTCCTTTTTTTGCCATAATTTCCCAGATGTTTTCAATTTTAAAGCCAGAGTTTCATTTTAAGATCATGACCTATAGGAAGGTAATATTAGTTGACTGTATGGTCTGAGAATATTATGCTATTGTTGTTGTTGTTGTTTTAGGGAGGTTATGCTCTGAGTATATGCTTTGGCCTAAAATGTGAGATAAACCATAAAACTTGAATGTATTTTTTGGTAAGGCTTGTAAAGGTTTGGATATTTTGCCTCTTCATCAACTGGTGATTTTTTTCTTTACTGCTAGTTTCTGTACTCATTTAGAATGTTCTAGAAAATTTATAATGTTGCTATGAACAAATACTACATAAGACTCAATTAGAAGAACTTCCTCCAACATTGATTTGACTTGTGTTTTTGCAGGACTGCTCGATTTCCAGATGGATAGCTCCCTCTCCTGTTTGGTTTGCAGAATCTGGGTCTTTTGAAAACACATTGGCAAATACACCATTTGTCATCTTGGCTGAAGCTGAATTGCTATTTGCAGAACAGCAAATTTGTAAGTTGGAATATCTAGGAAGCAAGGATGCTTCCATGTGATAATCTGGTTTAAAGTAAAATCACCATCCTTCCACAAGTGGTGACAACTAAAACTAAAACATTATTTTAAGGTTGAACTTATCTGCAGACCCATGTGGCAAAAAAGCACAGACCTGACTAGTCATTTGCTTGCACTGTTTGAAGCACCTGGGTAACCCTTGCCATGAAATCTGCATGGCATTCAGACCAGCCTACCACTAGTCCGCTCTCATCTCCCAAGGGTATGCAAATATGCACTTGCTGACACTGCCCACTAGCAGTCTTCTCCAAGTTTCTGATTTTAATGTTGCTTTTGTCCATTTCATGGGATAGAATTTATTTATTACATCAAGGGTTAGGGTTGTGTTTGTAGGCAAGATGATTTGCAAGCTAACTACAAAGAGTTGGCACCTAATGACTACTTAAAGGTTTCTCAGAATGATGGTAGTTCAAGCCCCTATTTCTAGAGAACTAGAAGAAAAAAACACTTTGACTTCAAAGAGAAAATGGCAGTTTGCTCAGATATACCTTTCTTGTTTCCCTCAATGGTGGGAAGGAGAGGGTTATATAACTCTGCTATAAGTTGTTAGAGGAACTGTGCATGCTTGTATGATCTTCCTGCCTTCCTCCTCGGAACCTTCTGAAGGAGAAATCATATTTGCCTCACACACAGTCAAGGAGCTCTTCCCTAAAGCCTGTGGCCATGGTTTTATCAATTCAGAGTTGAAGTTTTCCTTTCTTTTAATTCAGGTTTTGGCCCTACTTTTCAGAGTTACATCCCTGGGACTTAATAGTCTAGTGACCTTGGACCAACTGACAACAGTTTTAGGGGTGTGTGTGTGTGTGTGTGTGATCAAACCCAGAGTATCATGCATGCTAGGCAAGAACTCTAACACTGACTCTAACAGCACAAGTCAATCCCCCATCTCAATAAGTTATTAAGAGTATCCCTGAACTTCCTCTGCAGCCCAGGCAGGCTTCTGTCTCAGCCTCTGGAGTGACTAGGATTACAGCCTGAACTACCAAACCTAGCCAGTTTTTACTTATCCAAACTGACAAGAATAAGAATGGTTGTCTGGAAGAGTTTAAACCAGCAATGTGTTTTGTGCAGTAAGTAAATAATCATTAAACTCTAGCTGTTTTATTGCTGCTTTTCTTTTGCTTTTCTTCCCCTAGTATAACTGCCATCCTAATTTGCTCTGCAGCATTCAAGAGTCACATTCTAAACAACTAAAGGTTTCGCATTCATCCTCATAGCAGCTTTACTTGTTACAACTAAAAGGTTGAAGCATCCATAGTGTACGTACGCTAACAGATGACAGGCAAGCAGGAAAGTGCAAATAGACTATGGGCGAGTATTGAGCTTAGCAAAGAGGACATCTGAGATATGCTTATGTGGGTGGCATAAGTCAATTATCAGAGGCAAGTACTATATGGTCCATTTCTAGGCATTCCTGGCATAAAGGACACTACTTTCCAGGGGTTGGAAGATCTGGAAGGAGCAGCTGCTTAACAGGTATAGAGTTTGAGTTATGCAAGATGAAGAACAGTTCTGGAGGTTGTTTTGCGCAAAATGGGGTTAATGATGGTGATAAGTTCTGTGGTGTGCCGTTCAAGTTGACAACAGCAATGACGACAACAACACTCCCCAAAAACTGAAGGGCTCTATGAAATTAGAGCCTATGAATTATATTAATTAGCCTTGAACATTTTGACTCACATATCCCAGAATGTTGGATGACCAAGAATGTTCCAGTGTGTGACTAAGTACACAGCTCCACTGCTCAAGTGTTGTTTCTATTCTTACCTTCACCGCTGCTTCCTTCTGCCAGGTGTGAACTTTATTCTCAGCATCCTTTATTCTGTGTAGCTTGTGGACTTGGATGGAATTTCAGAAGTGCCTTTTCCTCATAGTCACAATGAAGAAACCCTCAAAAAGCCAAGCATGTGGAAAATGAATTTGATTCAGCAAGCTTACACCAAAAAAACCTTCCATGGGGGCGGTGCTGGGAATGGGGTGAGGGCAGGTAAGCGGGGGGGGAGGGGAAGGGGAGGAGGGGAGGTGGTGGAGGAGGGGAGGAGGTAGTTACAAAGAAGCTTAGCAAAAGCACTGTTGAATACAATGACTAAAAAGGCAAAGCCAAGGAAAGAGGGAGGAAAACTACAGGGCATTTAATGTTTTTTTTTCATTCCAATTTCTGCTTAATTATAAATGTTGCATACTGTAGTCTTCAAGATGCTGTGTGTGACCCATCAAAGGTCAAAGCTTAAGAACAGTAGAGAACAGCTCATTCTGAATGATAAGCTGATAATCTGTCATAAATAGACCCAGTTAAAAGCTGTTTTACTTCAGTTCAGGAATTCATTTTATCTTTTACTTAATACTTAATATCCCTTTTATTTCAGAATGATAACATTTACTGAGTATCTGCCATCTGGTGGAGATCTCATATGAAATAGGTAAACACTGAATGAGGTTTTAAAAAGTTTTTCCTTTTTATTTCAATTTAAAATGTCCTAGCATTCACTTTTTAAAATGTATTTGAAAATGAGAAACTTTCTATTTTGTGCCCATAGTAACTAAGTATAGTGAGAATCATAATATCTAATCATTTTCCCAAATAACATTTTAAATCATGAGTTAAATATTTTTGGAGGAAAATGTACAAGCTCTATGGTTAGGCGGCTGTCATCCTTTGAGACATGCTACCTGGAAACAATCACACCAGTAGGAGATGGGATTGTTTGGGCCAGCATCAAAGGAGAGGCAAAGACATCCTTCTGTGTCCCTATTAAAGTAGCAACTAGAATGCATAGTAGTGATGTGGGTGAAATTCTGCCTGGTCAGTTTTGAAAGTTGGCTTTAATATTTTTACTTTCAATTTTCTTTGTCCTTTTGAAATTGTAGTCATGGGTTTTCTTTTAATTGCTAGAAGCATAAAATAAAACAGTCATTGAAATATAATTATCAGCTTATGCAAGAGTGCCACCTCACATTTAATTTCTACATAAAAAAGCCTGGGCTTATAAATCCAT